GCCAGGGGTTGCCTGTAGAAGGAGAGTTCATCTTTCATTATAATTCGTTGACGAAACTTTTTCTGAAACTCTTTCAAACGATGACGTCCCAATACAACTGCTCAGATGGATGGACTGATTGAAAATCTTCCTATGGGGAAACCTTTAGAGCTCAACAGCGCATCTCCCAATAAACACAGGAAGCCTACAGTGTTGCATTCTCCTCTTTAGCAAATTCTTCGGATTCGTAGTCGAGTCGTTGACAAAATGGTCTGAACATTTACGTAAAATACATGATGTAAATAGAAAGTAAGAAAATGCTTACAGTGAATCTATGGCATAATGCAAATTACTAATTTCATCCGCTAAATGCTCTAAATCGTATTCGTAAGCAATATCCCGTAGAACATCAACCTCATCATCTGATAAATCTTCCGTGGGGATTTCTCTCAATAGTGATATGGGCAACTGAAATTATAGAAGAAGCATATAGAATAGTATATTTGTTCAACTTTGCAATATTACCTGACTACTTGAGTTTTCGGAAGCCCATACAAGAATTGCTTGAATAACGTCCATGGCTCTGAGCGATTTGCCTACTTCTCTGATTGCTACCTAAGCACCACTGCTTTTGCAATGTAACTTCCTTTCAGTAAATCAGTGTGTTTACCCTAACTGCTCTTTCAAGTATTGTGGTTGGACACGACACGAAGGGTCTGACTTTCGAGATTTCCCCGATTTTTGCACCGGCAACCTATAACTCAAACGCGTTGATGCTGCTGATTACTTGCTCCTGTTTTTATATATTTGAAGTAAGAATGTACCATCAAAAGCTTTCTTCTAGTATCTGGTGTGAAATTATCGACATGATAGAGGAGAATCATTAGCGCAAAGGGATCATCTAAAACTTCTTCTGAAAGCTTGTGAGCAAAGATCTTCTGTAAAAACTTACAGAAGTAGCCGAGTACAGCCTCTTCTATGGCTTCTACCATATCATACATTTCTAGAGCAAAAGCAGCAGCTAATGCGT